TGGATGCATATCCACCTACGTTCTGGAACGTATACGGCATGAGGCGGGATATTGTCAGTCGAACCAATAATCCCTTGGAGCGCTTTCACCGTGAACTAAACAAGAGATTCAGGCCTCATCCAACGATGAAGCAGTTTGTAACTACTTTGGAAATTCTAGCTCGCGAATACGTGGTGCAACGCAATGCAGTGATAGCCGGAATAGCTGTTCCACCTGTGCGATCAGGATTCGTACTACCAAAAGCACCCAGATTGCCGAATGTGACAGACATCGAGGATTCCGCATCGAGCAGCGATAGTGATAACCATGTAGTTGACGAAGAAGCAGATTCTGAGCGGTACAGCACGGATATGTCCCCGACGAGTGAGGAAAATAATGACGAGGATGCTATCTACGAACAGGACAACTCGTTCGAATACGAGGGTGATGTCTGGTGAAACAGTAGTAACAAATTAAATTTAAAATAAACATACTTACGTGAGAAATTTTTTATTTAGTAGTTATACTCATTGACGTCAAATTGAGGACCCCAATGCTTGTTATATCGTCTGTCGTAGTTGTGTAGAGAATACGCTCACGTTGCCTCTCTTGGTGAGCCTTGTCACCAACTAGTTCATGGATTTCTTGCTAAATATCCCACACGTCGAAGTACATTCAGTCTTGCACCATCAATGACCCCAGCAGACGAGCGAGGTCACCGCGCTGCAGAATTGGCCGAGTGATTATCTACATATCGTATTGTGGATGCGTTAGGCCACGTCGCAAGTTTGCGCACTATAGTCACCTTAACCTCGGTGCCCTCCATCGATGGGGGTGTACCTTGTGCGTCTGCTCAAACGTTGTGTTTGTGACGGTATTGCTCATGAGCACATTAACCTTTTTTGCAGTCTTTTGTACGTGACCAATTGATTTTTGGTCACGTGACCAAACGCATTTTTAATATGTGACCAACTGTCAGATTTGACCAATTAAATTGGTTACCGTCTGGAAAAATCCACTTGCGGATCATAGTTACAATTCCATCGTAAGGGTGGCTTATTTAGATCTGTGGACACCTGTCGACTTCTTTTAGAGTGTCTGATAGCGTATCCAGAAATTGTCAGCATAAGCATCCAAAAAAAAGGAGAGACACGAGGATATCCAGCACAAGTGATCGATAAGTGTTGGAGTGGTTATGAAGCTGGGCTTAATGTAGCCACCGCGTTTAAAGTCGAACTTGAGAGTTGTAACCACATAACCCGGAATCTCACTGTTAATTGTCAGAACAGTATAAACAGTTCCTTGGTTGAAGCTTTTAACCAACCTCCCCTTCTCCTCCAGAATTTCAGCTGCTTGAGATGCGGTGTAGTTGTATGGAATCACGAATTCATAGATAAAATGTGTCGTCTGGATCATAGCAGTCTCTGAATAGAGTACAAAGGAATGTCTCAGTCTTGCAGGCGCAGCTGAGTGACCTCAAAACTGACTCCTCCGATCACTTGGTTGTACATTGCGATGCGTCCCCATTCGTTTTCTGGCAATAATGTATCGTTAAGTCACTCAAGGATGTCCGGGATCGCTTCGATGTAGAGGAATTTAGCAGGGGAACCATCAGTGACGGTATCATCTCCAGAAGTTGCCAGGGTTGTCAGCACGGCGTGACTCTGTGTTTACATTGTACGAGTCGGCACGTGCACGAAGAGCGCAGCGATGAGTATTGCGAAGGAGAAGAGCGCCATTGTCAGGAAGATAGCTCGTGCACAGCAAACTCAGCACGACAAGAACAATCGCAGCATCTTCACCCTATCGTTGCCGGCCATAAGACCAGCACGAGGACGTCACCTGAGAAAGAACCAGCAGAAATTCTCCGCCAACGAGTTCCACCCGTCGCGCACCTTCGAGAGCATCTTTCATAGTCCGCAGTAGTTAGCTTTTAACAGGCGCTGCATGCGCTTTCATAATGCTCAGTCTTTAATTTTCCAGCTAGTGCACATCCTAGTTCAATGCTCAAGCCTTTTCCTACAGAGTGCAAGGCAGCCATAGGGTACCACAACTAGAGACAAATTTATCACGAGGGACCACAAGTAATTCCATTCGCTGAAAATAGGATTATTTTCAACTGATGCAGAATCTGCATTGCATATTAATTTTTTGTCGCTCAGGGCGTGATTAGTGGTGCTTCGTTGAGAGGAGCGGTGAGAAGACGTAGATCCCAGTGGGCAGAAGACGTGCGCACTTCCCGACCTCAGTATACACCGGTAAGTGCAGACGCACATGACGGCCCCCGTAGGATTTTGCTAATTCAATCGTTGTCTTTGCGAGAGCAACATGCACGTAGGACGCAACATTGGAATATGTACATGAAACCTGAGGCAGGCGTACGAAGATCCTGCTGACGCCTATTCTATACGTCATGAAGAGAAGCTACAGGTTTTCGACCACTGTTTATTGTTCTTCCAGCTTACGTTGGAGGTCAAGGTACAGTTTTCTTCAATATTGACAATACGTATTACTATGTTTTAACGTGTGTAGTTGTCTAGCTGTGCTTACTTAGCCTTGAATGCGCCTACAATCAAGCGTAGAACTTTGGGGAATTGAACTTCGCTGAGAGACTGAAGCAATCCGCTTGCTACACTAAAAGCTGGACTAAACAGAACATTCCGCTCATGCCCACAGCTCAATGTTTGTCAATCTTCTTAACTTACCATCCAACTATTCCCCAATGCGCAGAAAACACGTTGTTAACCACCACAACGACAACTCCGCATGCACAATTACAAAATAAACATTCGCCTCGCCAGTATTTTAATCTAAAATAATACTTTTGAGATCCTTCAACGTGCGAGAGGTGCTCATGTCCCAATGTTCTCTTTCTTTCTTTGCTCACTTTCATATTCCTCGGGTGGTGCTAATCCAGGCGCCGCTAACACCGAGCTAGTAACAGTGAATGGTGTGGTAACAAGGCTTAGTGCTGTGAAGACGAGGGAGGTATACCTGCGTTGGGCTCATATTCGAGGATGATGCGATTTAATCAGGAACACAGGGTGGGTTATGCTTTATTTTCTTCATAAACATCTATAATATCCTTTAACGACCCTGTACTCTGTTGACATTGAAATTTTATCTTGATGTCTTCTTTTTCGAGGGCCTCTACTTAAAAGGTAATCGTTGCATTGGCTCACACTGGTTGCCATCAACTGACAATACTCCGTGTTGTGAAACGTTCCTACAGAATATCACAGAGGATATTCTTATTGATGGCAACTCGAATCGTGATTTTATTTTGCTGGGTCATATG